TGCCTAGAGGAAACTTTAAACCACGGCATTGGGTGCCATAATAATGCAGAATCGTAAAGTTTATGAAATGCAGAACAATGGGGAACTCAACTTCATGTGAACTAAATCTCCAGCTCCCACATAATGTTACATGCTCTACTCCGTGAGAATAAACGATTCTTCCTGCACATTGGAGTCATTGAAGTGGCACCATCTTGCCGGTATTGCCTGTTGGTTCATTAAATTAGTTAATACTTATGACAAGTTTCTACGCCTATAAAACACCTATCTACATTACCTTATCTGTCTGCCTCTCACAATAATCTTGTGCAGTAGACAAAGCAGGTATAGTTATTGTCACCATTTTACAAATGAGGACATTGGGGCTGGCATAGTGATGGCTACTGTGGCCTCACAGCTAATAAGAGGCAGAAGTGAGACTGGAGCTATACCATTTAACTCCTGAACTCTCTCTGCCACCCCATTGTTGCCTCCAAATTGGGGACTCACACAGAGGAATAGAGCTTAGGAAGAGTGTCCACATCAGTGGTTCCTTTCTCAAAAAGACCATCAGGGAATTCCTCAGGGCAAAGAGAGAAAGAAATCTGTAAGTGTCTGATGGGTCAGGGATGGTCATTCTGTGGTCCTCAATCCTGCAATGGGAAGTCTGTGATCAGTCCTGGAAGAGTTCTGAATGGAGGAGCCAAAATTGATGCTGGTAAAGCACTTAAGAGTCATATGCAGCAGACTGTAACTGATATCTAAGGAGTGTTTGTTAAAATGACAGACCTACACTTATGTGCCTGGAACTGCCAGGTACTCTTGCTCTAAGACCTCATCTTTGCTAGCATGGCAAATTATAATAAAGTTAGCACGTGAACAATGACCGTTGGGGTTTGGATCCAAAAAGATGTCTCCTGAAAAGCTCACATGTTAGGCAATGCAGCAATGTTGAGAGGTGAAATGATTATGAGAGCTATAACCTTGTTAGTGGATTAATCCATTTGATAGATTAATAATTTGAATGGACTATGGGTGGTAAATATAGGTGGTAAATATAGGTAGGTAGAGCATGGCTACAGGAAATAGGTCACTGGGGTCACTATATTATATATATGGTGATATTTTTATATTTATATATTTATCTCCCTGGGTACTCTCTCCCTCTGCTTCCTGGCTGTCATGAGCTAGGTAATGCTCCTCTGCCATACCCTTCCACCATGATGTTTTGCCTCGCCTCAGGCCTAGAGCAATAGAGTTGGCCAACCATGGACTGAACCCATAAACCCAGTAAACTTTTCCTTAGGTTTTGTCAGGTATTTTGGTCATGGTCACCAAAAGCTTATGCAATAGTTAGAGCAGGTATAGTTATTATCACCATTTTACAAATGGTGACTAATGCAATGACAATAATACATCATATTGGTTAATCTCTGTTTAAATCCTTGTAAGACTATACTATGCAGTAGCCCCATTTTTTTTGTATGGGAAAACCAATGTCAAGCAACTAGTTCAACATCTTACTATTAGGGGGACAGTTAAAATTTGATGTTGAGTTATCCTTTTCACTTTCCACCCTATAATGCTTCTTTCAGATCTTATTATTTCAGTTAGCTGAAATTTAATCATCAAATATTTTCGCTTCCCAATCTTTCTTTTTCCCTTAACTGCCTCAGTCTATCCTATTCAATATGAGAGCTAATGAGCACTCAAAATGCTAGAAGTATAAAATCAACATTTAGCAAAACAAAAATTGGGTAAAATAATTCATTAATAAATCATAATATTGATTACATGTTGAAAAATGTAAAACATGAATATAATTTAAATGTTATTAAATAAAAGATGTTATTAAATATATCAATTAATATATTTATATTAATATAAATTAATTTCATTTTTTTAAAGAGAGAGAGAGAATTTTTTTTAATATTTATTTTTTAGTTTTCGGTGGATACAACATCTTTTATTTTATTTTTATGTGGTGCTGAGGATCGAACCCAGCACCCCACGCATGCCAGGCGAGTGCGCTACTGCCTGAGCCACATCCCCAGTCCTCATTTTTTGCTTTTTAATGTAGTTACTAAAAACATTTAAATTATATAGATGACTAACATTATGCTTCTATTGGACAGTATTGCTATAGATTACTGTTTCAAATTTCATCAACTTTATTCCCCACAGGCTGACATCAGAATAAAATAGGAATAAATGTTCTTCAGTTTGAATTATTCTCACAGCATAAGCCTATAACAAAGATGTTCAGACTCTGAGTTCTGTGGTATCTGACAGACTGCTTTTATCATTTACCATAATCCATGGCAAAAATAATCATTTATATATGATTAATATATATGATTATATATGATTTATATATGATCTCCATCCTGTTGCAAAACCAGAATAACCTGGTATTTTTATGTCATATATACATATATTCTATTTCTATAATATATATTCTATTTGGCTTTGTTTTATAATATATTTTATAAATATATTCTATTTAGATTTATATAATTACATATCAATATAACTAAATGAACAGTTTTGTTAAGTAATGTTTACTCAGAGAAATGAATTTCCCCTTACTAATATTTTCTCAATTATCTCCCTTTCTATTTTTTTAACATTGGTTGCAACCCACAAAATTAACTTCCCAACCTACTAATGTGTTTCAACCCGGTGTATAAAACTAGGCGCAGCGTCTGCAAGTGAGATACTGATTTAACCTACACAAAGGTGAAAGGATTTGGGGGATAAATAACAAGTTTACTTAGTTGAACCTGGCAGAAATTCATTAGCGAGTGGAGGCCTGTAGCTACAGCAAATCCTGTGGCCCTATCAATTGGTCAAATTGAGGGAGTTCTTCACACAAAATGACTCCTCCCTCCTATGGAGTCAGCACTAGTGGTCATATCTAATGTCCAGCTATTGGACCGTCTGCTCACCAGCACCTCTTTTTATAAGGAAGAACGAATACTTCTTTGGCATTTGCTCTTCTTACCGGATCCCCACTCAAGATCAAGGTCCAGCCAGGAGGTTCAAGTTTCCGTCTACTATAGGCCATGTCTGATGACTGGGGAGTGGGAATCCAATCCAATTGAGACCAATCCAAGCCTGTTTCTGGGATTTGTAGGCATCTAACCAGAACAAGGGAAAGTCAGTCTTCTAATGATAAAACCCCCAGGGTCTTAACTTGGAATCTGTCAGTGGTCAGGTTCTCTGCCATGTGGCAGAAGCTCCTTCAGCATAGAAGAGAGTGAAGCAAAGAGAAGCAGAGGTGAGAGACACAGAGATAAATGGACCCAAGTCTCTACAGGACTAGTTTTATGAGCACACAGCCCTTGTGGTCTCACAGGGTCCCCTATCTGGTTTGATGCTCTTCTGTGGATGAGTTGAAATGTATAATAAATTTCAAACAAAAAGTTCTTACATTTTCATTTTATTCTGTGCTTACAAACTATATTACTAACCCTGTGGCCTGGGTTCCAATTGTTCTTTAAATCCAACTGGATCTTCACCCTTCCTCATACTGAATCGTTTATCTCTTTTTTCAATTATGTGAAATTCTTACCAAAAATGTTTTTGCTCAGCTCCTTAGAAGTTGGTTCTCTTTAAACCAAGGATCTTTAATGACACTGTGATTAAAAACAGAAGATCGGGCCAATAACACAATTATAGAAACCCTAAACCACCTTGACCCAAAGATAGAGTTCTGTTGCTGCCCCTGAGGCTTGTTGACGTCTCAGAACCGTAGCTGTAGGACCTGTGTATCTCCCTGCAGAGTCCAGAAAAATCTTCATGCTCTAGAAATAAACCAGTTGGTCTCTAAATGTTGGTAGCATTTAGAGACAACACTGATTTTAGTCATCTTAAAATAATATCTAAAGTGATCCCTTTAACATTGCAAATTCAATAGATTTATACTCAAACTGTACCCTGTTCATTTCTCTGGGCAACTGGAAAGCAAGCCAGTAAGTAGGGCAAAACATGTTCCCAGTATGATATCACTGTTTAGTTGTTATACATGTTAGTTAATACTCATGATGATTTAAAAAAAAATAAATGGATTATCATTTTTTTTTACAAAGGAAAATAAAAAGTACCATACTTAATGGTAAGGTATCCAGTGGCCTAGTTGTGCCAGTTTCAGCCTGGTTACCTTTAGACTGATCTTTCAGTTGAACTACAGAACATATAACATGCTCATATTTTTTAAAGTAAGGGAGAATTTGCCCCTTCAGTTTGATTTAGTGGCTTGAGGTTCCCCCAAGTCCCTTTGAACTGTATTGCTCTTGCACCACATTTATTTCTTATGTATTTAGAGTAACTGATGTGCTTGCTGCTCCTAAAGGACGAAGGAATATGAGGGAACCCATAAGATTAACCTTCAATGAAAAGAACAAATCTAGTGGAAGCAAAGAGAGGGAAGTGAGATAGTTTAGAGACCACTATCACTCTCAGCACACATATAGGGCCCATGGCAGCTGGTCCCCAGTGTCTTTGTGCAGCAGCTGCTAGGCACCAGACAGCATGGATTAAAGTAATAGAGAAATAGAGGCTGTGTTCTTGGGACCTGTGTCTTCTTGAAAAATGCCCCTTTGCAGCATTGTGTGTATTTCCCCAAGAATGTGTTAGTGCCTATAGATGATCCATATAAGAAAACTGTGTGACAGCTGGGTGGGGTCTCTTAGAGAAATTCTGAACCCCACATCCTGACAAAGGTCCAGAAGAATGCCCACCCTGGGAATTATGGGAAATTTATATAATAGCAACACTCAGACATGTCATTTCATTTAATGCCTATACTAGGCCTCCCAAGAAATCCTACGGAGTCCTGGGTGACATGCTGTTCACTGAAAGTCATTCAAGATAAATTTATTAAGCACACATTGTATATTAGGCACTGTGCTGGGGATACTGCAGTGAAATAATCTAGACATGGCCTCTGCTCACTTGGGGTTTATCTTCCCAGAGTGGGGAAAAAAAAAAAAGTGAGGAAATGAGTAGATGATTTTAAGAGAAATAGGGCTGACAATGGAAACCTACAAGAGGTTTGATAGAAGAGAGGGGTAGGGTAGCCCAGCCCTCCATGCATCTATCTGCCTGCTGGGCATCCCCTAGCTGCGCCCTCCTCTCCCCCTCCAAAGTCCCTCTTCTCCTTCTTCCTCTCCTCACCGACCCCCACTCTTCTCTGCCCTGCTCCTATCGCTGCCCATTTTCTGGTTTCCACGGGGCAGTCACGAGCCCCGACCCTGCCGGTCCTGAGACTCAACGGTCCCAGCGCGCCCACAGCACCAGCTCCTTCCTCGGACCCTGCGAGCCGCCACTCCGCGTCCGCAATGGGAAACGAGGCCAGTTACCCAAAGGAGATGTGCAGCCACTTCGAACCCGAAGAAATTAAAAGGCTGGGCAGGAGTTTCAAGAAGCTGGACTTTGACAAGTCGGGCGCTCTGAGTGTGAATGAGTTCATGTCGCTGCCCGAGCTGCAGCAGAACCCATTGGTGAAGCGGGTGATCGACATCTTCGACACCGACGGCAATGGAGAAGTGGACTTCACGGAATTCATCCGGGGGACCTCCCAGTTCAGCGTCAAAGGGGACGAGGAGCAGAAGTTGATGTTCGCGTTCAGGATCTACGACGTGGATAAAGATGGTTACATCTCCAACGGGGAGCTCTTCCAGGTGCTGAAGATGATGGTGGGCAACAACCTCAAGGACTGGCAGCTACAGCAGCTCGTGGACAAAACCATCATCATCATGGATAAGGACGGCGATGGGAAGTTATCCTTTGAGGAATTCAGTGCTGTGGTCAGAGACCTGGAAGTCCACAAGAAGTTGATAGTGACTGTGTGAGCCTGTTTTCAAAGAACATGGCCCAAACAACTTTGCCCAAAGCTTTCTTCTTTCTTACAAGATCTGTTCCAGGCATCCATCAATTGTCTCTCTGACTTAACCCAGAAGTATTTCTCTTTGTGGAAGCGACATTTTCTAACATGTGCTTCATCACCAATTCAGTGTTATTAATTCTTATCTCAGTGGTTCAGGGTATCACCCCAAATGGGGAAAGAGCAAGATGAAGCATCAAAGTGGGAAAAGGGAAAAAAAAAAAAAAAGAGTCTTTTATAAATGTCTTTTTCTTTGTTTTGATTCAGATGCCAAACTGTAGTCAAAAACTTTAAAATAAGAAAATATATACCTTAGCCTGCCTTTCTCATGATTTTGTATGCAGGAGGAAATTGTACAATTTGTTTTTGGGTGTTAGGTGAACCATTCATTCACTTGTAGTGTTCAGATGCCTTTGACAGATTGTTAACTTCTTGTTGTAGCCACAAGGACTCCCTACTGAGTGTCTTTCAATTACTTTCCATGTAACAAAAATTCATCTCTTCTCATAGTAGGCTGCAGCTCCCTTCCCCATGATGCATCTACTTAGGGGAAAGTGTCCAGTAGGAATCCTCCAGGGCTCATGTAAAAAATGTGAATCCTGCACCAAGTGCCCAGCCCAACTATATCCAGCAGTGGCAGTGGATATTCCATGTTGGCTACCAGCTCCAGTATTAAGTTCAGAAAAGGGATCTTCTAGTCAAACAAGGCAGGGACCTTCCAAAAAAGCACTCTCACTTTCAACTCTGTCAACTCACCTTAGTTGGAGTAAATGGGAGAGATATAGAGTCAGCCTTCCCACAGGACAGAGTCAGTAAAGATTCTGACTCTCCTGGGAATGCAAATAAGTCTCTAAGCAGAGGTGAATGGTGGCAGCACTGGCTGATTTTGAAAATTAGATCTGAGGCAGAGCAGAGAAACTGAAAACTCTCAAGAAGCTCTTGTCCTTCTGTAACATTGCTATTTCACTATAATTTTCTTTCTCACAAAGGACCACTCCCCATAAAGATGTCTAAGGCTCCCAAAATGCTAGAAAAAATGAAATGTGCTCTTCTTACACTTACCTAGCCAAGGGAAACCATTCAGGTGATTTCTCTCAGGATGAGGAAAATCCATTTCAGATAAGTTTATTGTTTCATTTTGAAGAAGCTGGCAACTAGACTGGCAGGACAACTATCTACAAGGCATTCTGACATACTTTTTATATTTTAAAGAACCACAAATAAGAGTCCCTGTCACTTTAATTCATGTGCAGTCCTAAAGAAATGTATTAACGATCATAAACACTCCCAATCCTATAGTCATATGAGTCATGACCCTATTGCAGGGTAATATAGATCAAAGATGCAAACACACTGGATTTGAATTCAGTTGCAACTGGGTTATCATGGTCTCTTAGCTATGTGAACATGAGCAAGTTAGCTTATGTCTTTCCACCTAGTTAAAATGAGGATCTATACCATTTAAAATGTGTAAATCACCTAGAATACAATATGTTCGTGCTACTGATTCCCTTCTCCCTACTTTCCCTTATCAGTATGTAAAGGAGACATGAGGTGGCTGTTGTTTGTTTCTTAATAAGCAGAGTTCACTTTAGGCCTCAGTTTCCTGTTTTATGAAAATTGATACTTGATTTGATTCTAGTAATAACACTATTTGAGACAGGTAAATACAGGGACCATAAAAACAGTGAGGTAGAAACATTTACTACCTAGCCAAACCCACTCTAAATTTAACTGAATATCTTTGTGATTCTTGCCCAGAAAGGAAACAATGGGGACAATGTCAATGTCCTCCCTCCCACCTCCCATTTTTAGAGGGAATAATAGACTCCTTGAGAACTGGGGAAACTTTAAAAGAGGGCAGTGCCCAACTGTTTGACTTTGTGGAGGGAATTTTACATGGGGAAAGTGAGCACATGTCATGCTGGCCAAGAAGACCTCTAACAGAGGGATATTATTTTTAGTGGCAATGTGTACATCAAAATATGGAGATTTTGAAATTATGAACATGGGTTTGAAACGTGGATTGTGTATGCAAATGTAACAAGGAAAAGAAAAATATTTTAGTTTCTGGAGTGACTAGAATTAAATGATTGCTTCATCAATCTACCTAACATAGCTGCCCACAACTTTGTGGCAATGACTGAATCAAGAACTTGTTTCTGTTTTCAGCATTGGAAAGATCTGATGGGAAAATGGATCATACTTACTTCCAAGTTAGAATTCTTTGTTTTGTTTTGTTTTGTTTTTCTCTCAGTTGATTGCCAGTTGTCAACAATTTTAGTTTTATATAACTCCTTGGAGTGACAATAATAGTTACCATTTATAGAGCTACAATAATTCTTGGTACAACCTTTATTATATCATTTAATCAACACTGTGATGTGGGTACCATCATCTCAGCTTTACAGATGAGGCATAGAAAGATTGGAAGTTCCTCAAGGCCATCCATTCAGTAAGTAACAAAGCAAGGATTTATACCAGGTTTTCTGACCCCAAATCCTGAGCTTCATTTATATTTCAATGGCATTCCTCTTACTTTTGTGGCTCCATATGTACCTGTCTCAAATTATTTCTGTTAGTCTTATCAATGTAATCAAATCAAGTCTTAATGTTCACAAAAGAGGAAACTGAGGCCCAAAGAAGTAAATTACTTGTCAAGAAGCAAGCAGCCAGCCCCCATAACTTTGGTTTCACTTTTAGCAAAGAAACAAATATATTAGACAAGACAGTTTAAAATCGTTTTCCTCCTTCATCTCATCTTTTGAGAAATAGGTGACAGTATTTAGATTAAACTGAAAACAGCAACCAATATGCTCTGAGACTGCACAGATTAGTAACAATATGTCGTTATGAATCTATGCTAATGAGTTGTGTCTGCTTGCTACCATATGTCGCAGTCTCCAAGCCATGAAACACTCTTTTTGAAACAGAGGGGAAAATATGGCCTCAGCATAATTGGTTTATATTCCAAGTCTATCATGCTTTAGAAACATTCTCAAGGGAAAATCTTCCAAAAATTTAAAAGTTACAAATTCATCCTTCACTTATGCTACTGATTCTGTTAGGATATAGAGTAGGTAGGTAGTCTGGCTGTGGTGTTTTATCTATTTCCCATGCTTTGAAAAGGGAGAGGTCAGAGGCTTTTTAAGATAGGTGTTCATGGTAGAGAACTGAAGCCACTAGTCTGAAAATCAGACTTCAGATTAGACTCTGGACCCCTCTTTTTCCTTTTATATTTCCTCTTTTTGGGGAGCAGGGCACAGGGGGGTTGTGTATGTGTACTGAGGTTAGAACCTAGGATCTCACACATGCTGGCCAAGTGCTGTACCACTGAGCGAACCCCAAGCTCTGAACTCTTCTTTTATTGTATTAGCTACTATACCTATGTTAGTAGCCAGTGACTGTGACTTATAAAATGTGGTCACTTTTCATCGCTGTGACTGAAAAACCTGATAAGAACGACTTATTATTTTGGCTCACAGTTTCAAAGGTTCAGTCTATGGTCATCTGATTCCATTGCTCTGGGCCTAAGGTGAGGCAGAACCTCCTGGCAGAAAGGTAAGGCAGAAGAAAGCTGCTCAGCTCACGGCAACCAGGAAGCAGAAAGAGAATAAGGGCCAGGGAGAAAATATAATCCCCAGACCATGCCATCAGCCATGCCTCACCTGCCCACAGTTACCACCTATTAATCAAAATTATTAATCCATTAAGTGGATTAATCCACTGATGAGGCTACAGCTCTCATAATCTAATCACTTCACCTCTGAACATTCCATTACTGCCTTACACATGAGCTTTTTAGGAAATACTCCATCTCCAAACCATAACATAAACCATGTGTCATATCACCTTTTTAAATGAATTAGCTGATTTAAAATGAAAATCATGACACATGCAATAAATTGTGTAGATCGGAGGACATAACTTGATAGACCATAGGCTAAAGCTAAGCACAAATGTGCATTTTTTTGGTGTTGGTTTCTCATGGTGTTTATTCTCACAATGATCTTTAATCATTTGCCATTTTTTTTAATCTGAAGGTTTTTTTAATTAAAATTAACATAAAGGAATGAGGCCACTCTAGGATGGAAGTGGCCTTTTGTGAGTCGAGGAGACTCTGAATATTGGGAGAAAATTAAAAGTTTCAATGAAGAGAAATTAACATAGTTCCACTCTTAGCACAAAAGTTCAAGCTGGAGCTGAGCATGGTGGTGAGTGCACACCTATAACCCCACCTGCTTGGGAGACTGAGGCAGGAGAATCACAAATTCAAGGCCAACCTGGGCAACTTAGTGAGAACTTGTCTCAAGGTTAAAAAAAAAAAAAAGTTAAGTCTGGGGGTGTAACTTAGTGGTAGAGCACTTGCCTAATAAGTTCAATCCCCAGTACTTCAAAAAAAAATGTTCAACATGAACAGAAGTATTCACCATTTTTTAAAAATTACAGCACTATAGACACAAGATATTTATTACAACAAACAATATATTCTAACAATTAAAGTTGTTATAAAACAAAGTGGGTAAAGATTGAACATCCAGGCCTTTGTAGGACTTAGTGACATTGAGAACGGGTTTTGTCCTTCTTAAGGGCAAAATTTCACACATCACCAGTCTTTAAAACAGTTATATCATTTGATGCTGTAACCACACCCATTGCAATATTTATCTCAAATTAATCTAGAATGATATTTTAAAGTGCAATACTCAAAATGTTTTAACTACAGCAATATTTTTCTCATATATATAAATTACAATAGTAACTGATAGTTTGAGAATCTTCAAGTTGATTATGATAAAACAATAAGTGATAGGTTTAACACATTAAAATTAATAGATAATTAATTTTTAGAAAATAATACTTTTAAAATTAATATTAAAAGTTTATTGTTTTACAAAATAGCAAGTTTTTAAACAGCATAATGCATAATTACTACTCTGGAAAATATGTATGCAAATGATCATAGTTCAGAAAAGAACAGGGAGAATCCAAAGTAATCATTTTATAGCAAAAGGATTATGAATAATCTCAAATTTATTTTTAGAAAACAATTTTGGGGGTTCTTTTAAGAATGAGTCAAATTTTTCAAAAGACTGAACCATGGAATTAATGTAGCAAATTAAGTAGAGTTTCAAGCATAAAAGATGTTTGCCCAAGCTTAGAAAGTATGGGGGCTTGAGGAGCCTGAGGAATGTGGTGGGGGTAACATCTCC